CTCCAGGTCCCCGACGCCGCCGCCGCCGCCCGCGCCCGCGCCCTGCAGGCTGGCGCTCGACTCGGCGGCCGCCAGGAGGCTGCGCTCCCCGGCCGCGCTCGCCGCGTCCGGCTCCTGCTGCTTCCTGCGCCTCTCGCCCATGAGGCTGCTCAGGCTCCGCAGCGTGTACTCCACATTCTCGCTCGCCTTGCGGGACATAGGGCAGGGGCCCGGGACTTCCCGGGGGGACGAGGCTCCGCGGGCCGGCGGTCTCGGAGGGCTGGACAGCCCGAGAGGGCAGGAGCAACGGCCGCCGCCTTCGTCCTCCGGGCTCCCGCTCCGGCTGCCACGGCCGCAGCCGCCGCCGCGGCCGCTCCGGGGAGAAAGTTGCTGCCCGCCGAGCTCCGGCGCTGCGGAGTTGGAGGCTGGCGGGTCTCACTCGAGACTCACGCCCCGCGCCTGCCGAGCTGGCGCTGCGGAGCGGGCGGGAGGCGGGGCCCCGGGTCACGTGCACCCTGGGCCAGCGGGGCAGGGCCGCGGAGAGGCTCCGCCCCCTCTCTGGGCGGGGCCAGGCTCAAGCCTGCTGGGACCTCCAAACCCCACCCTCCTGGTTGAGGGCGACCTGTGACCAAGGCTCCTTAATTTAGGGGACTGGCATCTGCAGGGAATGAACACTGGCTTGGGGCCGCAACCGGGGAGCAGGCCAATGTGGGAATGCCAATTAATAGGCTTCCAGACGGCAGAAACGGCCTGCAATGCTTGCACGGTATGGGAGGCTAGGGAGAGAACCCCTCAAAACATCCTGATAGGCCTTCTAACAACCTGGGGCTGGCCAGAGCTGGAAAGGGCCTAGAAAATATATGCTGGTATGGCACATGGCAAGCCTTCCTTCTTTTATAATATTGTGACATAACTGAGTTTGTTCTGGAGCATTCAGGACTGTATCCTCCCATTTCCATAAGCAGTTTCTTCTCATTGCCAGTCCTTCCTCAATTTATGCTTATTGTAAAGACATGGTGCATCTTAATTCTTTGAAGACATAATGTATCTCCCCAGGTGAATCCCAAAGTTCCTTCCATGCATCCCTGATGTGTAAAGGAAGATTTACATTTATACATTCTTGTATAACCAGGTAGTTCCCACTGGTAGAAAGTAAACCCCTAGAATCCAATCTGTGATTTAATAGGCAACATCCACCTCCCTTCCCCAACATGCTTACCACAAAAAGAAGGATGTGCCTTATTTTCTTGTAACAAAGCAAAGATGGCATTATGTGTGACCAATTTTTTTTAACTGTTGAATTCATCGCCAGTTGTTGAGTCCCCTCCCTCCACTTTGATTTAAATCATTTGTAAATCATTTTATACAGTTACACTTCAAAAGAGAAAGAAAGACTACCTTGACTCTCTAATTTGCTTTCATTCTTCAGGCTGAGGGCACGAAGTAAAGCAGGATAGGATTCGATTTCTCACAGTTCCAGATCTCTTTTATTTCCTCTTTTCGAGCAAAAGATCCTTAGCCTGAGACCTATTTTTCATGAAGTCTAAACGATTTCCCTTTTAGAGAAGAGGATTTTGTCATCCCTATTTCAATAAAAAGTTATATTAGAATTTGTCAAAATTGCTTTCATTTGGATTATCTGTCATGATTATCTCCATAATATAACACTTTATTTTCCAGAGACCAGGACAAAACGGATGAATGAGCTCAGAGGACTTAAACTTACTGTGTGGCATTAAAGCAAGGCTCTATCGTCATTCCCAGAGATCAGTTAAAGAGAGAGAGCTTTTAGCTCCGGAGCAAGGAATTCTTTAATATTCAGACTTGAAAGATTCAGGTGAGAGCGTTAGCTTTTTCCGCCTCTATTATAGTAAGCCTGCGCCCCCTAGTGGTGAGTCGGTTCACCACTTCTGAAGAGACAGGCTCCCCAGATGAGATTCATCTGACACTGGTTAACAGTTCCTCTTGCTGAGATGCAACAAACTGTCTTTCACTCCGGGCAGGTGTATTGAATGCTCCTGAGCATCCCTTGCTGGAGATTCAGATTTTGTGTCACGGAACACTAAACCACTTAAAATTGTTCTGTTCTGTATCATTAGTGGATTTATATACCTAAGGTCAGTTTACATCTAAAAAGAAATATGACATGAAAAAAAAAAGGCATCAGAAAGTTAAGCAGAGTTCTCTCTGGCATTGGAAGGAGCCAAGTTTATTTTAGCACCTGAGATGAGTCCTAAATGGAGCTTCCCGGACTCTGCCTCAAGTGAGACTGTGTGAAATGGAAAACTCATCACCAGAGAATCAAAAGGCATGAGTCCCATCACAATCACTGTTTCACTGTGCAACTTCAGACAAGCCTCTAGATTAGATTGTGCTTTGTATTGTTTGCAAAACAGATAAATGGTGCAGCAACTACTCATTGACTAGAGTAAGCATGAAAATGTATTTTAAGATATAACTGGTTACCATTGCAGGGTAAATACGAATTATAAGAATCATTATTGGTTTGCAAGGTAAGTTCCAAAGCCTCTATTTTAAGTACATTTGCTTTACAAACCTCCAGGAACACTAAGGACCTGTCATAGAAGAGGGAAAGAAGAGAGAAGCTTTAGTTACACTGCTGCAGATCCTGAATATCAACGACATTGGTCACTAATGTAATTCAATAGATGTTGTTATTGTTGGGAGGGGGTGGTGGGGCTGGTAACAGAGTGTTGTCTTTGTTTATTGGATGTTTGTTTTTAATTTTATGAGTAATTGATCCTTTTTGTAAAGCAGTCTAAGAAAAAACACATAAATCTCTTACCAATCATCTCTCCTGCCACTATAGCCCCCCTTCCCCAAAGATAACCACTCCCAGCTCTTTGAAATGTATCTTTCTAGATTTCATGAATTTATATGTATTTATATGTACACAATAAAATGCAGAGATTATCTTGTTTTTGCATTATTTAGATTGCAAAGGAGAAAACAAAAACAAAAACAAAAACAGACCAAACAGGTTTAAGCCAAAATCATAGGAGAGAGGGAGACTTTATTGGTTCTTGTCTCTAAAAAGTTTGTAATAGGCTGGTTTCAAGGTAGCTGGATGTAGGACTCAAACTCCAGGAGGTCACCAAGAGACTTTGCTTCATCTCTCCACTTTGCTTCTTGATACTTTGGTGCCATTTTCAAATTCCATGTGGTGGTCACGTGGCTACAGCAAGCTCCAAACTCTATATTCACTTATATCTAAGGGGCAAAAAAAAAAAAAAAAAAAAAAGGGTTTCTTTCTCTGAAAGTCCTGAGTCCTCAAAAACTTATTGTACAGTATCCAATTGGATCTGTCAATTATGTGCCGCTCCTTGACCCAGTTACCATAACTGAGAGATTGTTTGCTGACCAATTAGAGCCGATCAGGGCCCACATCTTGAGCTGTGAGTGCAAGTAAATCATGGCTGAGGTTGTGAAATCTGGGGTACTATTTTCCCAGAAGACAAGCAAAGAAATCCTGGACTATATAATCAACAGATTTGAGTTACCATGAGTAACTAGTACAATTACATGGCATAAAAACCAAGTAAAGCATTTCAAGAATGAGAGACTGGCTAAGAGGATCAAACATATTGCATAGACATCAAAGAGAATAAAAATTCTTTTGAATTCATTGAATATTACCAACAGAAAGTCAGTGGTGAAGATCTAATGTACACCACCATGACTATAGGTAATAGTTAATAATATATTGTACACTTTAAATTTGCTAATAGTGTATATCTTAAGTGTTTTCACACGCAAAAAAAACTGTTAAGGTGATGAATATACTATATGCTAATTAGCTTGATTGTGGTCATTATTTCACAATGTATATCAAAACATCACATGATATGCCTTAAATATGTATAGTTTTTGTTTATCAATCATACCATAGTAAGGCTGGGGGCGGGGGGGGGTCAAAGATTTCTGCTGAGAATCAGAATGTTCATTTGATGGTCGTATGTTCAGAAACCCAGTAATGTCAGAACCCTGCCCTATTGACCATTCCTCCTTTCTGTACATGTAATAGACAATAGCAGCATCAGAATAAACGTATTATATTTTAATAGGTACAACAGTAAATCATAGTCCCATGGCATGGTTATGGAATATAAAAATAGGTGCTTAGGAGGTCCTGCAAAATCTTGGGTTTTTTTGACTTGCTCTAAGGAGGAGTAGGGGGAGGGAGGAAGGAAGGGTAAGAAAAAATAGATGATCAGCATGCCCCACTAGAGCAATGCCCTGTCTAGATCTGCTGCTTACTACAGGGAGACAGGGGGCAGGAAACCCAAAACAAAGCATGAGTCATGGATGATATTTTAACACACATTGACCCTGCCCACTAATAACCATGACCCAACCAGTAGTAGAACCTGTAACGCAATGTAATATTTCCTTTTCCTTTGGGTGGGGAGGGTTGCAACGCCTCTCCCTACTCAGAGACTCTTGTGAGAGCAACTGCAATTAAGAGGAAAATAGCAAACAAATGCCGCATTTTCTAGAAATTTCTTGGTGCATGTAATAAAGGAGGGACTAGCTTAAAGAGTTATCATCAGGACCAAGAGTAAGGGTGGAGGCGTGAGGCATGACTTGAATTTATTCGTATGCTGAAGTGAAAAGAAGAAATTGACAATTCAAGAGCCTGAATGATTGATAAAGCAAAATCCTGAAGAAGGCAAGGAGAATAATAGCAAGATCATTAGGGGAGAGGCTAATCTAGCCACAGGGAGAAGGACCACTTCTTCATCTGAGAAAAAAAGGGAAGCAAAAAAAAAAAAAAAAAAAAAAAGGATAGCAGGAAAGAACATGGTATTAATAACAAGAATGGGGAAAGAATTCTGTTAAGTGAATAATAGGGCGGGGAAGGGGGGATAGAGTAAACCTGGATGTTGTAAACAGAAAGACCTAAGTTCATATCTCTACTCTGCTACTTACTTGACTATGTGAACCCCAGCCACCTAACTTATTTTCTAAGTTTCAGTTTTCTTCTCTGTAAAAGGGGGATGATAATATTGCATTAGTATTTACATAGTTTCAGTTATGAATAACAGAAAGTGCATATTCAAACTATGTTATTATACACTACAGAAATGCATTGTTGCAGACATTTGATGTCAGAGGTGGGCAGCATCAGGAACGGTATGATCAGTCTTCAAAACATGGTTATCAAAAATCCAAATTCTATCCTTTTCTCCCCTCTACTATTCTTTGTGTACATATTAATTTTGCCCTCCACCTGGCCTCCCCAGAGTGATAAGAAAGCACTAACATTTCCCGGTATCATATTTTTCCAATGTATACCAAAAAATGTAGTGCCTAGTCCCTAC